TAAAGGGCGTCGTCTAAACGTTGATGTGAGCAAACTAGTAGCACCTGCTACTTCTTTGAAATATCAGAATGAGTTACAATCAATGCTTGACAGCAACCCCCCAAGTAGTATAGATGAACATTGGCTCCATCTGCAAGGTGCCGTGCAAAGAGCTAGTGTAGCCGCTTGCGGCTTGAAAGAATGCTCCGCTAACAACCACTGGGTTTCTGCGAGTTCCTTGCAACTCCTGGATGAACGCCGGTCCATTCCGGCTGGCAGCGAATACAGCAATAAGCGAAAGGCGCTGACGCGCAAGATAAGACAGTGTTTACGTAAGGACCGCGAAGCCTGGTGGTCAGAACGTGAGTGTGAGATGGAGTCAGCTGCTGCATCTGGGAACAGCCGAAAGCTGTTCCAGCTCATCCGATCCACCGGCAGCAAGAAACAAGGTGTCAGCGAGATGGCCTGTGAGGTAGATGGCACGCCAACTACCAGTTTGAAAAGACACCTGGAACGCTGGGCAGAGCACTTCGGGAAACAGTTTAGCTGGCCCCCAGCTTCAATGTCTGCTGTCATTAGCCCCAGTGCTCCTTGGTCGGTTAGTGCCGACCCACCCACCGAAGCGGAGGTCCGTAAGGAACTCCAAGTGTTAAAACGCCATAAAGTGCCCGGTCCAGACAATTTACCCCCGGCTCTTTTTAAAGATGGTGGCGAGACTCTCACAATGGCTCTAACTGGGTTGTTCAGGAAGGTATGGGAAACTGAGAGTGTACCATCAATGTGGAACAAAGCCATTATCGTCCCCATCTTTAAAAAGGGTCGACGTAATTCGTGTGACAACCATAGGGGTATCAGTCTGCTACCAGTCGCGTCTAAATTATTGGCTTCTGTCTTGCTTCGCAGGCTGTGCAAAATACGTGAAGGATTGATTCGCGAAGAGCAGGCTGGGTTTCGTTCAGGTCGTGGATGCATTGATCATGTGTTCACCCTTCGTCGGTTGTTGGAACACCGCCACACGTATTGCAGGCCAACGATCGTTGTGTTTCTTGATATTAGGGCTGCCTTCGATTCGTTGGACAGAACTGTGCTCTGGAACTGTCTGTTAGAGAGAGGTGTACCTGAGAAATTCGTTAATATCTCGAAAGCCCTATACAGAAACACCTCAGGTAGAGTGAGGGCATACAACCAACTATCATCACTGTTCCCAACCAACAGTGAGGTTAGACAGGGTTGCCCAATCTCTCCATTTCTCTTTAACTTTGCCATCGATGACATTCTGGAGTCAGCTCTGAAGGATGTGCGTGAAGGTGGTGTAGATCTGCTACCTGGAGATAGACTTTTCGACCTCGAGTATGCAGACGATATCGTCTTACTGTGCGATAGCATGCAGGCTGCCCAAATCGCACTTAATCAGTTGGCGATCAGTGTCTGTAAGTATGGTATGTGCTTTGCACCGTCTAATTGCAAAGTACTGTTACAAGATTGGCAGGAGCCTGTACCTGCACTCACTCTTGCGGGTGAACCGCTTGAAGTTGTTGATAAGTTTGTGTATCTGGGTAGTTGTGTGAGTGCTGGCGGAGGGGTGACGGATGAGATTTCCAACCGTATAATGAAGGCTAGGGTGGCATACATCAACTTGAGCCACCTCTGGCGCCGTCGCGACGTTAGCCTGGCTGTCAAAGGTCGGGTATACAATGCTTCGGTGCGGGCTGTCTTGCTCTACGCCTGTGAAATCTGGCCTCTCCGAGCTGAGGATGTACGGTGACTCTGTGTGTTCGATCATCGCTTTCTCTGCAGGATTGCTTGCGTTTGATGGAATCATCGCGTGAGTAATTCTGAGGTTCGGCGACGTGTGTTTGAACATGGTGGAGATCACCATTCATTGAGTGTCGTCATCTCGAAACACCGGCTCCGTTGGCTTTGACATGTGCTGCGAATGTCATCCCAGAGGCTTCCGTACAGGTTTCTGTTCGCTAGCCCTGGGACGGGATGGAAAAGGCGGAGGGGTAGTCAGTCCATAACGTGGCGTCGTGGGATGAAGGATATTTGTGCTAGATTAGCATCGGTTGGTGCGTCACGACTCCCTGGTTGGGGTCCGTGAGATAGCTCGAAACGTTATCGGATATGGCCAAGAATCGTAATCAATGGCGAACGTGTTGCAATTTCCTTCTTTCTTCCCTTCCTGATAATAGTTAACGAATACTGTTTGAACTTGTTAAACATGACTGTTTTCCTTCCTGATGAAGTTCTTTATCCGTTTTCTACTTATATTTTTACTTTTAATCTATATTGTTTTATTATTATTGTGTGGCGCATCTTTCTTGGTGCCATATTGTACCAAGTTTTTCTGCGTTTAAATAAATAAATAAAAAAATAAATGTCCCCAATATTGGTGGTGAGAAAATGAGAACAAAGGCTTTGCGTAGGCGGGTACAGTTAGCATATGGATTATCTGACACAGCCACAAAGAGATGCAAGGTTAACTTTCTGTGAGAAACAACCAATCAGAAGACTGTATTTTCCACTAACAATAATCTACAATAATGTACATTAAAATCTATAAATATGTGTTGATTTTCCTTAATAGAGGATCTGTTGCCTGGCCCTTGTCTTCTGTTGTTACCCTATAACTAACTGATTTCCCAAATATTTTTGACTAATACAATTAGGTAATCACAGTAAATCTTAGAATACTTAAGATTACCTTACCAGACAGTAACAACATTTGTGAAAAATTATATTTGTAAAATCTCAGCGAGATTGAAATGAGTAATTCCAACGTCTCTTGTGTTCAGCAAACTAGTGACCCAAACTTCTTCAGGGGAATTAATCGAAATTAACACAACAGACATCTCTTGTTTTTAAAAACTTTGTCTAATCATATGAGTCATGAAACAGGCATCAACATGTATAATAAACAAACAAAATTGTATGAGCTGTGATCAAAATTTGACCTCATACTTCTACAAATATTAGTCTACTTTTGTTAAACATTTTAAGCAGAGTGTACTTTTTATCAGATTACGTGAGACTAAAAGTTCATGGTCGTAGATAACTAAATATATGAAAATATATGTGTATATTGTGGCATACAACGATGTGTGTATATATGTATGGGTAAACCAGCTGTAAAACGTTTGTTAGCCTCTCCAATTTCGCTGAGATTTTACAAATATAATTTTTATAAATGTCTACTTTTCACTACTCATCATCCAATTATTTTGGAACTATACTGTCAAATCTTCACCACAGACAGTAACAACGCCTAGATTCGGAAAAACGACCAAAAGGTCAATTGAATTAATATGACCCGTTGCACAAGAGGTGGCTCTCGTGGCCCAAGTGGTCTAGTGGATAACGCTTTGGTGTTTGAATCTATGGGCACTGGGTTCGAGTCTCGGTGGGAACATCATCACTCACTGGGGAATGCAGGTACATCCAGATGACGAGTCCCAAATAGGACGAAATGCACATCCTGACTGGATTCCACTGCTAGTCATCATCCACAAATTAAGGTCAAATATTAGATTAACGAGAAGACCAATATCAATTATAAGTGGACACAACTATCTATGGAAAAAACCAGTCACGGTGAAGGCCATCAGAAGAGATAAATTATTCAACTACGGAAAATTCCCAAAGTTAGAGCTAAAGATGTCGTCCAAAAATACAACAGAGAAAGTAAAATTTCAGTACACCTTAACATGATACCGTGCATCAATGACTCAACGATAGATTGCTCACCAATCATGCAAGCTGTCCGGAATTCGATTCCCGACGCTGATGTACGCCACTAAACCTCGGATACTTTACCAGAAAATGTGGGAATAGGGTGGTTGGGTGTGAGGCTAGCATATTCCTATCCCTTGGAACCAAAAAGGAAAAAGACAACAGTTACTGGGAACTTCAGAAAAGCTTGACAAAAAACTAACGAAATACTCTCCACTTTATAAAATCAATTTTTAGGGACAAATAATTGCTGTATAAGGAAGATGATATGTAAATCTATCGTATCACAAACATTCTGAGATTGTACCCTCTTGTGTTCTTACCAATATCCAATATATTTGGCTTTTATTAGATACTGCAATTGAAGGTTATCCCTTTTGTTTATTTTCTCATAAGTGTAAACATCACTTAAGCTCTGTAATAATCGTTCCTTTTTGTTTTCCCCTTCACCATTCTTTATATCAAGAGAACGTTAGATTCAATACTCTATAACACGCTAAAATTTCCAAGCTGTAATGACAAAATTGTTTGAAACAAACCCACTGTTATTATTACTATTAGAGTTATTATTCTCATTTTGTACTTTGCACATTTTTGACTTTATTTCCTATCGTAAATGTGGACAAATTCCTGTGGTTAATTTTATTTATATTTTAAGTAAATCAGATGCAGTATCGTAACAAATGCTGAGAATTCCATTCTGTATTATGAGTACTGTTTTTCGAATAAAGCAGATTATTATTACTATTATTATCATTATTATTATTAGATAAGTGAGGGAAACCACCTCCTTCAGATATCTTCAGCGCCTAGTTTACTAGTTTCCTAGGAAGTCCTAAGTTCGGGAAAAGCGGGAGGGTTGGGGCGTGGGGCTATCGACCATATCCCGGAGAATAAGTCAAATCGCTACAGAAACTTCAAAACACGACAGCAATGATTAACAACAAGGAACTCTGATAGGTACAGAAAGAGTCAACAATAATTCTATTGCTCAACAAATCTGCAGAAGGGAATGGAGACAGATTGAATATACGTCGACGGGACCAACAAGTGAATCGTCACACACACCAGGCACTAGAGTAGGACAGTGAATGAGAAGTGATGGGTTGGGGTGAAGGTGAGGGGGACATGGTGTAGAGCGTGAAATGGAGAAGAAATGAAAGGCGCCGCAGAGAACAGACTGCAACGGAGATGTGCTGTTGAAGCCCTATGTCTAGATAACTAACTGACTTCTAGCTAACTTAGTATCCTATGGGAAAAAGGGAAAAAAAGCATATTTATGATCTCTCTTCTTTACTGTAAAAAAGAAAACAACAACTAACTTACTTGACGGAAAAATCGTTGAAGTAGTTCAGGTGACAGACGTTTTTTCATTTCATTGGCTGAACTATTACTTTGTCCATCACCGATATTACCACTACTATTATTATTAGTAGTAGCAGTAATTAAATCTTGTATATTTGGTATCACTGTCGACAGATTCGCTGTATGATCTTGTATTAAATCATTGAAGGTTTCATTGACTACCTGAGTTATACCACTGGTCAGTTGACGTCGTAATGGTCGAACATTAGGCAATGCCTTGCTATTCGGTCCATAATGTATAAGAATCATAGCTATAAAATGTAAGCATAGTGAGACATGACGCATTAAATTGATGGCTTCTTTATCCGCTGCTGTATACGACCATGGATGTCTATGATGCCAGTGATAGAAGGAATAGTCCATACCTCTGGAGAAAGAGAGAGAGAGAAAGAAAAAAGAAACAAACAAAAGAAAACAACACAATAAGGCATAGGAAGTGGATTGATGATTATATGTGTTCTTTAAGAATAAAAGTATTTTTAAATAACCTTGAACTACTATACATCCTTTGTTAGACAATTTCTTTCTCTCTTTCCATATATACACACGTGATAAGTTTTTTTACGGAAACAACAGGGAAATATTCGCTATTCTGAAAGTACACTTCTGTTTTCTTGTATACAGTCCAATTTTCTTTTTATGTAACGAGTGTTTTCAAGTATGATCACTAACTGAAAACCAGAGAGTATTGGACAGCTTTTTAGTCCTTGTTTGCGACGCTTCAACAGCACGTACCTATGATGCCAACCGGTTACAACATAGAATTCTGCATAGATGTGCAGCAGATTGATTTGCCACACTCCCTCCATGTACCACACAAAACAACAGCAGAGAGTAAAGACAGATTCATCGAAAAAGAGATAATAAACACAAATTTGAGTGACGGAAAAACAATAGTAAGGCAAAGTTAAACTTTTAGCACGACTAACTACCACCAATCAGCCAATGACCTCGAACATAACAATCACGTGAAGGAGGCAGTTTTGTGTATGGAGTACATATATATTTATGAAAAAATGCATAAAAACTGTATAAAAGTGTTACAGAGGATAGCTTCCCCTCACATGTGATAAAAATAGATCTCAGTTTTAGGTCGGAGTATCAACAGAGTATAATCCCATTATAGGTAAAATTTACTTTGATAAAGTCTCACAGTGTAATACAGTAATATTGACTGAGCAATAAACTGTGCTCGAAACGTAATCAGTAAGTATTACTGTATAACAATGGGAGACTTTATCAAAATAAATGTTACCTATAATGGGATTATACTCTACCTCCATAGTGCACAAGTTCTATTCTTATATCAACAGAGTAATTTAACCATATTCTAATGCATGTAATTATGTAGGTTTTCTAACATTAACAATAACCCTGATCTTTCCTGACCTAACCCTAAATTGGAAATATCCTTAAAATAACTGTAATTCAACTCGAACCAACCCTAATGCCACCTCTCTTAGGTTAACCTAACCATAACTTGTCCTTGGCTTAAAGCATAACTTAATCTTTCCCAAACATAAGCTGAAACTTGCCAGATATTCCATTTAATAACATAACACTTCGATGAGCATATTTTATTGATGATGACAACATTATTTGCCAGGTTTCACTAACTTGCTCAGTGAGCGTTTCAAAGTCATTGGTGCGGTCGCACTCCATTGGTAGTTAGTGGTGCTTAAAGTTTAACTTGGCTAATAGTAATATGGAAAAACAATAGAGTTTCATTGGATATGACTGGCAAATCACAAAGAGTGAAGGGATCTGCGCCAGCCGTCACTAAGAACGATTTCAAGACATATCACCGATTGTCTCCAGCCCTCATTGCTTCTTACCATCCAGAGGACCCCAACAAGTCAGTCAGGAATTCTACATCTTCCCACGTGGCTGGCTGGTCAGCTTAAACTAGCTGTTAGGGATTTCAGTGACTGATGAAGCCATGTTTTGGTTTGATCACCACCACTAGCTGACTCTTTTCCAACCTAATCCATCCTGTCAGTGGCTAACATCGCCCATCGTCGAGGAAGTCGACCTATGGCTAGAGATGTATTCCTAAAACATGTCCTAACGATCTCTCTCAATCGATGTAACTTCACAAACTCGTCGAGTGACTAACTGTTCTTGCTTACCGAACACTTGACCGAAGTCTAACCTTAATATTACTCACCCTATTACGCCACATAACACGGGACATAGAACTCAGACACCTATGATCAAAGACACCTAGCCAGGCTTTTTATATCTTCCACTTTTAACGGTCATGTCTCACAGCTAGCCATAAAGGAGGACGGAGCGAACTGCTGAACAGTATACACTTCGACTTCCGGATATAACGGCTACTGAGCTGGAGATGCCGTAAGCTGACAAATTCCAAACGAGCCTTCTGTGTCCATGCTAAGATTTTGTCGGCGATCCACTCGCTGAGGCTCATGCAACTTTCCCCCAAATAAGTGAGGTGGTCAACACGCTCTACCTCTTCACTCCTGGATTATCTTCAAGTTAGGAGTCGATGTAGTCCAGTCCTGTAGCATCATCTTGAGTTTTTTAATAGAGGCGAATCGTATGCTTTCATCCACAAGGGATCAAACTCCGGACCTCGTTGACCATTCAGCCACTACCATGGAATCCAATGGCTGGCACATGAATTCTAAGTTCTGCCAATATGCGATATGCATAACGCGACAGCCAACCAATGAAATCGGGCGAATATCTGTTCTCTCACCCAACTTGGTGAAACCCACTGGTCAGGCAAGCTTATCCTTACACATTCAGTCTGTAGTGAGCAACTGTCTTAATTTTTAAGGATTTATTAGCAGGGATTTAGTTGATTTCAAGATAAAAAAAACCACCTACTTCAGTTTTCAAAATAATACAATAGTATCAAACAAACGTCACTTAAACAAAAATACGGTGCCGCTGAAAACTATACAACATTCGACAAACGAATGAGCGCACCAGTGACCCTAAGTCAACCGATTAATCGCATTAAAAGAAGGGTGAAATATATTGGCTGAGGAAAGACAAACTGAGTTAAGTGTTAACAATCACAGTGCTTCTTCAGGATTTAGGAAAAAGTAAGATTCTTAATCCTAATTATAAAATGAATATAATCCATCCTAATCCTAACTTGTTTTTGCTAAGCTAATTATAATTTAAGTTCTATAAGGATAACACACTTGGGCACTGTGGTAGTGGAGTATAACTCCATTATGGATAAAATTTTATTTTGATAAAGTCTCACACAGTGTTGTTATACAGTAATATTTACTGATGACAACGTTTCGAGAACAATTTATTACTACTGGTCATAATCATATCAAGGTATTCACTCACACAACTTGTATATAAATGAAGCGAGAAAGTTGTGTGAGTGAGTAATGCCTTGATATGATTATGAGCAATAATTTGTGCTCGAAACCTTGTCATCAGTAAATATTACTGTATAACAACACAGTGTAACTTTATCAAAGCAATTATTATTACTAATGTTTCCTTTAGTTCCTAGAGGAATATAGGGCTTCAGCCGCACGTCTCCATTGCGCGTTCGGTTCTCTGCCACCGTTTTCACCTGGCTCCACGTCTGCCCACATGCTTTTAGCTCCTCTTTACATGACCTCCTCCATGTCACCCTCGCACTGACGACTAACTTGTCGCTTTCCGTTCGGGTTCCACCCGAGGGCCTGTCTTATCAAAGCAAATTTTATCCATAATGGAATTATACTCCACCACCACAGTGCCCAAGTTTTATCCTTATATCAGAAGTTTAATCAGAAAGTTTAAGACCATGGTACAAAAGAGATTGACTAACTTTTCGTGCTCATGGACATGAGCCAGTGGTTATTACCTCCCACCATGGAAGTGTTGCATGACCACAGAGCTCAGGGGGGCAACTGCTTTCAGGCCGATAACATATGGCTTGTTTGAATTGGTTATGTCAGTATTAAGGTCGAACCACTGCAAGTTAAGTCGGAGGGTAGAATTTTCGAGGCGGGCCTTTTCTGACCCCTCTCTCTATCTACCCAAGGCGGAAAAGCGGCGTTGCTGGATTGCTCATCATCTGAAGGAAACCCTTTACTGCCGTTACATCTCTATTCGCCAGTAGTACGACTTCACCCACAGAATTGCCGACACAGTGTAAACGACTAACAACTACGATGGTAACTGCTTTCAGTTCGACTGTTATCGAAACGACTCTACTGGTATGACATAGCTTGAGAATCTGTTGAGTCATTGTGATATGAGAATAAACAAACCTTTTCTGCACACAGAGATCAGGGTGCCACCGACGATGTATCCTCTAAACGGACACACATACACCCACACCTTTGATATAAGTGAATTAGATTTCGATAGTAATCGACTGAGATGGTTAGGACATGTGTTACGTATGCCTAGTCATCGCCTTCCTCGACAATGGGCAATGTTAGCTGACATAGGGTCAGGCTGGAAAAGAGCTAGCGGCAGTCAAACGAAAACATGGCACCAGTCAATGAAATCCACAACAGTTAGTCTAGGCCACATAGGAAGGTGTAGACTTACTGGTTGGGGTCCTCGGGACGGTAAAAACCAATGGTTGGAAACAATTGGTGACATGGCTCAAAATCGTTCTCAATGGCTGGCGCAGATGCATCCACTCCTCGTACTTATGATTTCAATTCTTGTTCTCCGTTATTACTATTCCTTTGTCTCACACCTCTGTTTACTGTCTATATATGTCTTCTTAGATTTCGATAGTAGAACAGTGTTAAAGATCACAGAGAGCATTCATAACGCTATGAGACTACATACAGTAGCAACAATACAAAAAAAACAACAAGACTTACCTTTCTATATTGTCTATCGCCAATTCTAAACAATCCACTATAAGTGTTGGATTCAAATCGATAGCCGGTAGACCGATACAACTATTTGTTAGAACAAAATGAAATAGCTCTGCAAAACTAACAAAAGCAGCTTGTGAAACATGACACAACGGTTCAAGAAATGTACGTTGTAATTCTAAAGCATAACGCCATAGACTTAAACATTGATGGAAGTTATCAGCATCAGCGTAGATTGCACCACGATAGCTAAGTGTTTTCAGAAGGGAGAAAAACAGAAAAAACAAAGAAAGATAAGTAAAGAAATTCAGAATATGGTATAACACACACTAGCGGATGTTGTGATTTATTTGCTTTATCTACTTGACATAGCCAGCCCTACCGAGTAGCGCAATCTAATTCTCTTCCAACTGTCAAGATTCGAGCACAGTCAGGTGAGCAATCAACTTCCACAGTCCAGTAGGTCTCGGGTTTGAGTCCTGATCCAGCTGCCTACCTATCTACCTCAGTCTAGGCAACTTGGTTAGTTATGAGACATTATTGAGTGCAAATGTATGTGTGATGTGTACTACTGACAAGAATCTTTAAGTAGTATGTGGGCGACATCTGCTAAAATCTTTAATACCACAGAGAGAGAGAGAGAGGAATTCAGCATATGTAAGTAAAATTATATATATTTTTTTACGAGTTTGACCACAGATTGATATCAGTTGGAGAACCACTGAAAACCAGGGAGTGCTGGACAGCTGTTTCATCCTAGTTTGGGAATCATCCGAAGGCAAGCTGATAACAATCCGTGGTTATACTCATAAAAGCAAATTCTAATCCTTACAAACCAACTATAGAAAATTAATCTGATGCTCGCTAGTGACTTGCTACAGGACGGAGTTTCCTGGAGTTCTAGTGCGAAGTCGTGACCAGTCAAGTGTGAGGATGGATTTCCCACCGATGACATTGGTTGGTGGTCGCGCTAAATCACGAATTGGTAGAAGTTAGAATTCACGGACTGGCCATTGAATTGGGTCTCAGTGGCTGAATAGTATACATGCCATAGATCTACACGCCATAGAACCAGATCACAAAATTTGTTTTGATAATGTTGAGATAATCCAGAAAAATTTCATACATCACAAAGAAACTCTAATATCAGAGGCACTTCATATCAAATGGAATCCAAATTGCCTGAATAGGAATTTGACCTGGTTGCAACACCCCCTCCTCTCCCCCATGAAATGACGGAATCAACACGACTGTGACCAATAATTTCATTGTGTAAACCCATACTGTTTTTATAATTTCATACACTTATCAAATCCAACAACCTACACTTGGTTTTGTCATCTTAACCAATTGGCCAACTTGACAGCATAAAAATGACCCCATGCTGAAGAACGATGATTAAGTTGTTATATATATGCTGAGATTTTGTAAATTCTGGTTTAATAATACTACTTTGATAAAGCTATTAGCAGCATTAAATAGGGAAACGTCGGTAAAAACAATAATCATGGGCCACTGAATCGGGTACCAGTGGCTGAATGGTATACGAGCTTGCCTTATAACCGGGAGGTCCTGGGTTCGAACCCCAGTGGTAGGCGCGTACTGCCGATGATTCCCAAACTAGGATGAAACAGCAGTCCAGTATTCCCTGCTGGTTTTCAACAGCTCTCTTACTGATATCAATCTTTGGTCAAACTAGCAAAAAAAATCTAATCCTTACAAACCAACTCTTGAAAATTATATGTGTAAAAATCTCAGTGAAATTGAAATAAATAGTTCCAACGTTTTGTTCGGCAAATCAGTCCGAACTTTTCCATGGAAAGGTATGTGCATTTGTTCTTAAAACTTCTTGTCCAATTATAAAAAGTTATCAAAAACAAAAATAAGTACGATTGTATGAGCTGTGATCAAAATTTGACTGGGTAGTTAAACTGTAAACAGTGTATACTTTCTTTTATCAGACCTTTTAGTGAATGTTCGAATAACGGTCATGGTCCTGAGAATCCGAATTAGAAAACATATCTATATCACATGGAATAATATGTGTATGTGAATAGGCAATTGTACATCATTTGTAAGCATTCCAGCGAGAAGATATATATATATAATTGGGATAGTAGATTAGGCATGAGAATTACTCATACATAACTCCATTTTATTTATTCGTCAAGACTTGTCATGCGCTAGCTAACATCACACCATCACGTCTAAAACTAAAGCTTTTGGAATTCACTTACATATGTAAGGCCCCTGAAGTCAGTCTTTTTAAATATAAAGCAAAACCTTTCTGTAGAACCTTGATCCTATCAGACTTGATCCGTGTGTCCTGTTTCTGTCGGTCGGTCGGTTTTCGACATAGAACTTTGCACCGATGTGCGGCAGTTCAAGTCGCCACAATCCATGTAGCACACAAAGCAAGAGAAGAAATGCATAATATAGACAGTAAACAGAGGTGTGAGACAAAGGAGTAGTAATAACGAAGAAGAATATAGTTTCATTGGAAATCATAAGTCACAAGGAGTGGATGCATCTGCGGTAGCCACTGAGAACGATTTTGAGCCATATCACCAATTGTTTCCAGCCATTGGTTTTTACCGTCCCGAGGACCCCAACCAGGAAGTCTACACCTTCCTATGTGGCCTAGACTAACTGTGGTGGATTTCATTGACTGGTGCCATGTTTTCGTTTGACAACCGCTAGCTCTTTTCCAGCCTGGCCCTATATCAGCTAACATTGCCCATTGTCGAGGAAGGCGATGACTAGGCATACGTAACACATGTCCTAACCATCTCAGTCGATGTAATTTCACAGCCTCGTCGATTGATTTCCCCACCTTACCTAGCACTCGACGCCTAACCTCAATATTGCTCACCTTATTATACCACTTCACACCGGAGATAGAACGCAGACACCTATGATCGAAGACAGCTAATCTTTTCATGTCTTACGCTCTCAATGGCCAGGTCTCACAGCCATAAAGGAGGACGGAGCGAACTGTTGAGCAGTACACACGCCCTTTGGTCGATAGTCGGATATCGCGTCTACGCCAGAGACGGCGAAAACTGGCATATGCGAACCTAGCCCTCTGTATTCGTGCTGAGATTTCGTCTGAGATCAACCCGTTGGGGCTGATGGTACTTCCCAAATAAGTGAAGCGGTCAACGTGTTCTACCACTTCACTTCCTATTTCTAATCTAGGGGTCGATGAAGTCCAATCCTGCAGCATCATCTTACATTTTACAGGGGCGAATCGCATGCCAAACATACGAAGATTGTTGCTCAGGGTGTTCAGTAGACTCTGCATTTTGTCAGCGTCCTCGCCTAGAAGGACTATATCGTCTGCATATTCTAAGTCAATGAGATTATTCCCTGGTAGCAAGTCAATCCCTGAGTCTCTGAAGTGAGTTAGGGTTAAGTCCATTAGTACGTCTATGATGAAGTTGAAAGCTGCTACCTTGACGTGGTGGTCGGGCTTGAACACTGCAATGACCCAACAAGCTATGCTGGCTGGAACTTATGTTCCTGCAGGTCCTACCATGCCAGAAAGGTTGTTTGGATAGCAGTTAGACTAAAAGCAGTTACCCAATCCAATCCTATGATTTCAAATAAATCACAAAATATCATGCCGGATCGGTCGGGGCCCGGATTAACAACGACCGCGCTTTCTGCTGCCGTGTCACAGGGCAGAAGTGATAAATACGCTACTGAGACACACCAAATAAAAAAGAACAAACAAAAACAGGCCGTATGTGACCGGCCTCAAGCAGTTGTCTCTTGGGCTCTGCGGTCACGCAACCAACTTCCACGGTGTGGGCAGCCGGGAAGTAACAATCGCCCTCACAATCCGAAGTGCACGCGAAACCTCTCTAATCCTCGCTCATCTTTGTCTTCATTTTCATCTCTTTTATCTTGCCTTCCTTCTACCAATGCAACTCCTGTACTTGTTGGCTCTTCACCTCCTCTTCACTCTGTGTGCACTGATAACGATGGAAGCCAAAAAGCCACCACCGATGGTCTCCTAAAACCACGCCACCAATTTTATATAGGAGCATTTAATGTTAGGACACTTTGCCAAATAGGACAACAAGCATCACTAGCCAAGACTCTGGCATCCCGAGCCATTGATGTATGTTGTGTTTCAGAAACACGCATACAAGACCTAAGTGTGGTTATTCACCTAACCCCACCTGGCCAACAGGATGAATCTGCAAAATTCACCTTGAGGGTGTCAGGAGATGCGACGGCTAGCTCACGAGGATTAGCTGGTGTCGGGATAGCTTTAAGTACTAGAGCAGAAAAGACATTACTTGACTGGATCCCGGTAGATAGCCGAATGTGTGCTGTCCGCCTGAACGGATCAGTGAAAAGGAGAAAGGACTGCACTACTCGCCGATGCCTTTTCGTAATCTCCGCCTACGCCCCCACTGACTGCAGTTCGGATGAAACGAAGGATGAGTTCTACCAAAAGCTGTCTAGTTTGCTGCGAAAGGCTAAACGCTCAGATATAGTCGTTTTAGCTGGTGACTTTAATGCTCAAGTAGGGGAATTGTGTCAATCTGAGAAGAATGTCGGTGGCACATACGGAATTCCGTGCCAGCGAACCGACAACGGTGACCGTCTCCTACAGTTCTGTTCAGATAATCATTTGTATCTTGTAAGCACTAACTTCAAACACAAGGAGAGACACTGTTTGACCTGGCGACCCCCATCATCAAATCAACGCTGGACACAAATAGACCACATAGCAATAAGCTATCGTTGGCGTGGGTCGGTAGGAGATTGTCGCTCCTTCTGGAACACGTGTGTAGATACCGATCACGCACTGGTCCGCGCTCGTGTGTGCTTACGACTGAACGGACGTAGGAAACAGCTGGCGGTAAACCCATCACGTCCCCAGCTCGATCAGGAAACTAAGTCCCTATTTGAGGAAGAACTAGCTAAACACATATCTGAGTTCGACAGCTGCGCTCACCCTGAAGAAGCCTGGAAGAATATTCAATCAGCCATAGATACAGCTGTAAAAGCTGTGAATAAGGTAAATCCAAAGGTGAGTAAAAACCATTGGATTTCGACTGCCTCATCCGAACTGATAGATGCTAGAAGACTTATTCCGGCGAGCTCCGAATTCAATGAGGAGCGAAAGCTGCACAAAAAGAAACTTACGAAAAGTCTCCGCAAGGACCGTGAACAGTGGTGGTTGACAAAGGCGAAAGAGATGGAAAAAGCATCGGCGATAGGCAACACCAGACAACTATTCAGGCTTATCAGGGAAACAGGTGGTAAAAGGCAAATGATAAGCGAAACAATCTCTGAGAAAAATGGCACCATAATTAGCTCCCAGGATAGACGTCTGGAGCGCTGGAAAGAACACTATGAGGAGCAGTTTAATTGGCCCACAGCCACACTTAACCTGCCGGACATCCAACACCTCCCTGAATGGGATATAGACACAGGTCCTCCGTCCTTAACTGAGGTTACTAAAGCTGTCACTAATCTGAAGCAAGGCAAAGCAGCGGGACCTGATGGATTGACTCCAGAGGTATTTAAGTACGGTGGAGACAGTTTACTGTCTGCGTTAACGGAGGTTCTAGGCAGCGTCTGGGAATCAGAGGAAGTCCCGTCGGGTTGGTGTAAGTCACTGATCATCCCGATATACAAGAAGGGAGACAAGTCTTCTTGTGATAATCACAGAGGGATTAGCTTGACTAATATAGTATCTAAAATCCTAGGCTCAATAATACTGCGTAGACTAAGTGGTGCTCGGGAGACACAAACACGAGAAAACCAGGCAGGTTTTAGGCCAGGTAGAGGGTGTATTGATCATATCTTCACCCTTCGACAGATTCTAGAACATAGGCATTCCTACCGGCGTCCGACAATCATTATATTTCTTGACCTAAAGGCGGCATTCGATTCTGTCGACCGGGAGGTTCTCTGGCGATGCCTGGCTGTAAAGGGAATGCCAAGAAAATACATTGCACTGATTAAGGCACTCTACTCGTACTCATGCAGCCAGGTGAGGGCTTATGGCGAGTTGTCATCTGAAGTGGTGACGACTAGTGGCGTCCGTCAAGGATGCCCATTATCCCCATTCCTATTCAACTTCATCATAGACGTACTAATGGACTTAACCCTAACACACTTCAGCGACTCAGGGATTGACTTGCTACCAGGGAATAATCTCGTTGACTTAGAATATGCGGACGATATAGTCCTTCTAGGCGAGGACTCTGACAGAATGCAGAGTCTACTGAACACCCTGAGCAACAATCTTCGTATGTTTGGCATGCGATTCGCCCCTGTAAAATGTAAGATGATGCTGCAGGATTGGACTTCATCGACCCCTAGATTAGAAATAGGAAGTGAAGTGGTAGAACACGTTGACCGCTTCAATTACTTGGGAAGTACCATCAGCCCCAACGGGTTGATCTCAGACGAAATCTCAGCACGAATACAGAGGGCTAGGTTCGCATTCGCCAGTTTACGCCGTCTCTGGCGTAGACGCGATATCCGACTATCGACCAAAGGGCGTGTGTACTGCTCAACAGTCCGCTCCGTCCTCCTTTATGGCTGTGAGACATGGCCATTGAGAGCAGAAGACATGAAAAGATTATCTGTGTTCAATCATAGGTGTCTGCGTTCTATCTCCCTCGCGAAGTGGTAGAATAAGGTGAGCAATATTGAGGTTAGGCGTCGAGTGCTAGGTAAGACGGGGAAATCAATCGACGAGACTGTGAAATTACATCGACTGAGATGGTTAGGACATGTGTTACGTATCCCTAGTCATCGCCTTCCTCGACAGGCAATGTTAGCTGACATAGGGTCAGACTGGAAAAGAGCTAGCGGCGGTCAAACCAAAACATGGCACCAGTCAATGAAATACACAACAGTTAGTGTAAGCCACGTAGGAAGGTGTAGACTTCCTGGTTGGGGTCCTCGGGACGGTAAAAACCAATGGTTGGAGACAATTGGTGACATGGCTCAAAATCGTTCTCAGTGGCACAGATGCATCCACTCCTTGTGACTTATGATTTCCAATTAAACTGTTTTGTTCTTCGTTATTACTATTCCTTTGTCTCACACCTCTGTTTACTGTCTATATTATGCATTTCTTCTACTTCCTTCTCTTCCTTTGTGTGCTACAAGAAGGGAGTGTGGCGACTTGAACTGCCGCACATCAGTGCGAAGTTCTATGTCGAAAACCGACCGACCGACCGACCGATCAATACGAATTAGAAATTTGACGAACCACGAAAAGGATTTCCAACAGCCTGTTCCAGACTTTTATCAACAGCTGCCTTCGCTGGCTCCATACTGAAGATCAAATGGCCAGCCAGAAAGAATTAGCAACAAGAACCAATCGTTCGACAAATATGTAGGGGAAAATGGAGATGGATTGGGCATACGTTGAGGAGGCCGTCCAATGACATCTCGCCAAGGCCATTAGTCAAGTGGAACCCGAATGGGGAACGATGCATGGGTCGTCAGTGCGAGGGTGACATGGAGGAGATCGTGCGAAGAGGAGATGTGAGATTATGGTCAATGGTGGATACAGCTGAAGAAGGTGGCAGGAAATAGAAAAAATGGAGATGTGTTGTTGAAGCCCGATGTTCCACTCGGAACCCAAGGGAATTATTATTATTATTGGACACCACTGTATTCGGAGCATCGGGTTCCACAGAGTTCATGTATAGGATGCCAACCATTATGTGATTTAGAAATTATGTTGAATAACACATCCTCTATAGTGTTTCCCTTACTATCCACTAAATTTTTCAGCATAATACACTCCAAACAGCTTGGTGTTTAACATAATTTATTTCATTCAGTTAATGAAAACACCTTGCTGAAGAAGGAGGAAACCACATCATTTCGACCGAATCATATCAGTTTATGAGTTTCTACTGACAAATCAATAATGAATAAGGATAGAGCATGTTGATAACTTCACTTATTTCAGATGTTACATCAGCTCCAATCGACTGATTACAGACAAAATTTCAGCACGGATAGAAAAGCCTCGTGTGACATTTGCCCTCTTAAATCATCTATGGCGTACATGTGACATTCGGCTATCGATCAAGGGACGTGTGACCTGCGCATCAGTTCGTTCTGTCTTCCTTTATGGCTGTGAGACCTGGCCATTGAGAGTGGAAGACATGAAAAGCCAGTGTAGCTAGCTGTCTTTGATCATAGGTGCCTGCGTTCTATCTCCCGTGTGAAATGGTATAATAGGGTGAGCAATATTGAGGTTAGGCGTCGAGTGCTAGGTAGGTGGGAGGGGAAATCAATCGACGAGGCTGTGAAGTTACATCGACTGAGATGGTTAGGACATGTGTTACGCATACCTAGCCATCCATCACCTTCCTCGACAACAGGCAATGTTAACCGACATAGGATCAAGTTGGAAAAGAGCTAGTGGTGGTAGTCAAACCAAAACATGGCTTCATCAGTCAATGAAATGCAAAACAGTTAGTTTAAGCCATGTAGGAAGGTGTAGACTTCCTGGTTGGGGTCCTCGGGTCCTTGAGACGGTAAAAATCAATGGCTGGCGCAGATGCATCCACTCCTTGTGACTTATAATACCCAATAAAACTATATTGTTCTTCGATATTACTATTCTTTTTGCCTCATATCTCTGTTTACTGTCTCTATTATGCATCTCTTCTGCTTTCTTCTGTTGCTTTGTGTCCTGAGTGAAGCGTGGCGAATCAAACTGCTGCACACAGGTGCAAAGTTCTATGTCGAAACCAGGCGGACAGACAGACATGGCAACTTCAAGTGGTACACTTCTCTGCAAATCTTCTCTACTGATACTGACTGAGTCAGTCAGTCAGTCAATAATCAGTGAGTCATAGACAACAATCAATAAATCACAGAAATGCAAATAATTCCAAAAAAAGAAAGAAAGATTATCTTACCGAATAAAATAAATAGTATCCGGATGATCTGGACCTAATATACGTAAACGTATTAACAAGGATTGTAATCGTAGTACATGCGTGTTCGACATTAGACTAGCTAATTCTTCATGTGTTCGAAATTCGCATACATGTCCAAAAGCCTCTTCACCGCATTGTTTCAATCGACGTATCAATGGATGATCTTCTGTTGCCAAATGACATTGTGGACAAATATACATAGAACTATCTTCTGCCTGTTAGATGATTGATTGGATGGGTTGTTTTTTTTTAAAATTAAAAAAAGAAGAAGAAAAAGCGAGAACACAGACGAAAAATGAGTACAAGTCAACGTAAAGGTTATGTAAATATAAGAATACATGATTATACCATTGTGGTGAGAACTGTCTACTAGCCAAATTGGTAGACAGTAATTGACGTCAATGTTTACGTTCTCAAGATTTGTCGTGAGAAAATATGAACAAAGACTGATTCAAAACCGACCACAGCAGACTTTGCGTAGGCGGATACAATTAACATATAGATGATGTGACATTCAAGAAACAGTCACAAAGAGATGAAAGATTAACTTTAAGTGAGAAACAACCAATCAGAAGACTGTGTTTGTTTGCTTAACTAATCTATAATAATGTACATGAAAATATATAAATATGCTTTGATTTCCTTAATAAACGATCTGTTGTCTGGCCCTTGTCTTCTGTTGTTACACCATCAGTGTCCACATACACACCTATGACAGACTGAAATAGATCCGGTTAATTTTGTTGGTTCTCGTCAGCTGCTTACAACTTATAATATGTAATAAAACCGGCTATAATACAATATTAACACATATTTTGTTTATCATCGTGAATCAGTCCTCCAGTAAGGATTGTTGTAAGAAGGTTCATTGTGTACCAAAATATAAGGATGGTAAGGTTATCTCAAAGTAGTAGTATATAACACATACATATATTTTCAAGAGTTGGTTTGTAAGGATTTGATTTGATTTTATGAGTTTGACCACGGATTGATATCACAATTAGAGAACCATTGAAAACCAGGTAGTAGTGGATAGTTTTTTCGTCCTAGTTTGGCAATCCTCAGCACTATGCACCCACTGGGGTTCATGGGTCATTGAATCCGGTCTCAGTGGCTGAATGCCTTGTAGCCGGAAGGTCCTGGGTTCGAACTTTGGAGGTGGGTGCGTAATGCCGATGATTCACAAACTGGGGATGAACGAAACAGCTGTCCAGTACTCCCTGTGGCTGGCTTTCAATGGTTCTCTAACTGATATCTATCCGTGGTCAAATTCGTAATATACATATATATTATACGAGTGAAGTTTCTCATGAGAAAAGGACAGTTCTTTTTGTTAGGGCAGTGTGACAAGTCAGTGATGATTGCGTAATTAGAGATAATAAAATAAAGTGAGCAGAACTTATAAGATTGATTGGTTGGAGGATTTCATCATTAGAAAACCAACTAGGAGTACTGACAGACAGCTAGCTGTTTCGTCAGCCTAGTTTGGGACTCTTTATCGGTACGCACCCACCCCCCACCCAGGGTTCGAACCCAGGACCTTCTGGTGACAAGACTAGCAAGCTAGCTCGTAGACCATTAAGCCACTGGGACCCAATCCAATGGCCAGCCCATGAATTCAAACATCTGCCAATTCATGACATACCACGACCACTTACTTCGCAATGTCTTCTTCGATGAGTTACTGAATAATCAAAATTTCGTGTGTACGAAGTCTAATCAAAAGGTGATAATGCTGTAATACAGTGGGTAGAATTTCAGGGATCAACAATTAAATCTAATATGAAAGTCAAGCGGGAAATCGGTGGTGGGGAGGTGGTTTGAGACAAAATGATGAAATCAGAAGACAAAGAATTACTAAGAAGATAGTTACCAGGGTAATTGAAGTCCCACGACGAATTTGTTTTGAACCCATAGGTCAAGTTTTAGTTATTTTATTTAGAAGTCAAGCAAAGATGCTCGTAAAGAATGTAATTAAAGTCAGCGACAAAACCGAATTTCATACAACTTGACTTCAAAGGTGATTGATATTATGAGACTGATAAATAAACGTTTAAGCACATCACTGGTCAGGACGCATGGCAGCAGTAAAACTTATTCTCTCTACTCCAAACATCCTACTCGTTGGAACAGTCAGAAATCGAGAACCACTCCTCATAGGTTATATGAAACCGTGAATATCAATTCACATATAAATGGGGCAGGGGCAGCTACATTGGGAGAACAGAAAGAAGGGCCTACATCAAATTCTTTGAAAATGCACCAAAAAGCCATCGACTGAAGGAACCAAATAGTTTGAACCTCGTCAATTACCAAACACCTGATAGACATAGGACACCAAGTGGATGCATTGAGAGCATTCAAAAGAAAAATCAACAGACAAAATAGCCAAAGTCTTTTTCTTCGGTTTCCTGAAGCAATTGCAATAAATCAACTGAAACCTGACCTATGTGTTCAAGATGAATCCGTCGTTGGACTTCAATACGTCTCCGTAACTCTTTCTCTTCTGATTTCATCATTTTGGTTTCAGCCCCCTGAACCCGCCCCAAATTACCGCCTGAATTTCATATTGAGCTTAATTTTTGAACCGTTGAATTCCGTTTACCATCAGTACCATCACTGAGAACGATTTTGAGCCATATCACCAATTGTCTCTAGCTCTCATTGCTTCTTACCATCCCGAGGACCCCAAATCAGTCAGTCAGGAAGTCTACACCTTCCCTACGTGGCGGCTGGCCAGCTCAAACTAACTGTTGTGGATTTCACTGACTGATGAAGCCAAGTTTTGGTTTGACCATCACCACTAGCTGTTTTTCAACCTGATCCATCCTATGTTAGTCAGCTGGCGTTGCCCATCGTCGACGAAGGAGATGTATGGCTAGAGATGCATGCGTTGCACATGTCTTAACCACCTCAATCATGGAATGCAAATTGCCTGAATAGGAATGATGGACTAAAACAGAATTTGACCTGGTTACAACACCCCCCTCCCCCATGAAGTGACAAAATCAACAAGAATGTGATAAGCAATTTCATTATGTAAACACGTGCTGCTTTTTCAGTTTCATACACTTATCAAATCCGACAATCTAAACTTAGTTTTGTTATCTTAACCAATTAGCCAACTTGACAGCACAAAAATTACCCCATGCTGAAGAACGATGATTAAATTGTTATATATATAGCTGAGATTTTGCAAATTCTGGTTTAATAATACTACTTTGATAAACCTATTAGCAGCAGTATTAAATAGCGAAACGTCAGTAAAACCAATATTCATGGGCCATTGAATCGGGTCCCAATGGCTGAATGGTATACGAGCTTACTTGCCTTGTAGCCGGAAGGTCCTGGGTTCGAACCCCAGTGGTGGGTGCGTACTGCCGATGATTCCCAAACTAGGCTGATGAAACAGCTGTCCAGTACTCCCTGTGGCTGGTTTCAATGGTTCTCTAACTGTGATTCCATGGAACTCGTAAACATCATCTCAGATCAACTCTTGAAAAACAATATCATTTTGTTTTTCATCTATTGGGAAATACAAAACTTTCTTAATAATGCAGATATGTTTTAGATTAAATTCCCCATTGGCACATGTTCCCCGTGATGTGATCATTTTTATCTTTTCTTTCGGTGTTTTCGATGCAGTTGCACACAAAAAATTCTTTCATTTCTTCTCTTTGTCATTTAATCCCTCCCTCCGTTATTTAATATTCCTGCAGAAGATACTACACACCATATACTACTTACAAAATCTTCTCAGTCGTATACCCCACACTAAATGCGTATAGCTCATCGAGTTTATAAAAACAAGACAATAAGCCATAGACAATATTATGAGCCTCAGTTACACTATACTGACGAGCAGAAAGCCAACTTACTGTAGAGACAGATCTCTAGACCGCTGAACTAAAGCTCTGTCTAAAGTAGAACAGTACATATATGTTTCTAATGCCTACTTCCAGTTTATATCACATTTGTTTCTCCATTATGGATAAGATTTTATTTTGATAAAGTCACACACAGTGTTGTTATACAGTAATATTTACTGATGACCACGTTTCGAGCACAATTTATTACTACTGCTCATAATCATATCAAGGCATTACTCACTCACACAACTTTCTTGCTTCATTTATATACATGAGTAAAATTGATGATTAGACATTTGAATAAAATCAATATAAGATAAAGTACATTCGGAAATAATATTAGTGTTATCAATAAAATACAATCAGATGGGAAATAAGACGAGTGTTTTTATAGTAAAATAAATAAGTAACTTGTTAGAATGTGAATTGAATAACATTTTAACATTATTTATTATCCTCCTCTGATTTGACTGGTGGTAATAATATCTTCCATACATATCTCTGGTATTTGCGTTGAGTCATTTCTGTTGCATGTGTTGGGTGTAGACTCTATGAATCAGGATTCAGTAACCAACCAACTCTCTCTCCATCTACCTATATTACATTTTATAATTTTGACTCTGTCCCACACACTCTATTGTGTGGTTGTGTGTTAATGTATGCAGTGCTATTGCTGAGCTTTTTTCTAAAATACTTATCTTCGTGGGTTCAATCATTCTAACCTTAGCTAAATTCTTATGTTCTGATAATCTCACTACTCTTGATCTACTAGTTTGACCTATGCAGTTGATTTCGCTCACGGTCATTACAAGGTATTTTGTAAATTATATTATTTTGTTTAATTGGGCTCACCGTGTTTGAATGCCACCACCTAATTCGTTTATTGAGAATACTAACGAGGGTTCAGCTGTCCTCTCCTTATATGGTGAAACTGTGGATGCCTTATATTCTTTCTTATTTATGTTATCATTATTATTAGTTTCACCATTATTTTTAATTTGCTTTTGACCTTTTTTGATATTCCTAATGAATTTTATAGGATAGTTAGTTATTTAACACCAACGCTTCCCCTATGTGTTTCATTTCATCTTCATGAGAATTAAGCTCTAGTGACATGGAAGATATTATTACCATCAGTCAAATCAGAGGAGGATAATAAATAATGTTAAAATGTATTCAATTCACATTATTTTTACTATTAAAACATCTTATTTCCCAACTGATTGTATTTTATTGATAACACTGGTAATATTTCCGAATGTACTTTATCTTATATTGATTCAATTCAAATATCTTATCATATTTGTACTCATGTATATAAACGAATCAAAAAAAGTTGTGTGAGT